AAGCCAAGCTAAGGCTGGGCATTGATAAGAAAGGATAAGCTTCTGTGTGATTTCTTTGGGAACTGGGTGGTGGGCCCCTCAAAGAACAAAGAGCCGAAGAGTAAAAAACAATACTCCACCGCACTTTTTGCCATAGGTTCTCCCCCGGAACCTGGAGCTGTACTGGCTGTATTAGCCATGAAGCCCTAAGGATTCCTGACTCTGCACGCCCAGCATCAGTATTGCAGGTGTCTACCAGGTCCTGTCTTTCCATGTGGGTGTTGCTGGGGCTCTCCATCCAGGTCTTCATGCGTGTGCATCAAAGACTGCATCAACTGAGATAGCTCTCCAGCTTCTTATAAACGTTCCTTCTGTCTGCTCATCACCACCAGGGAACTTAGGGAAGTTCAGGTGGGACAGAGGAGGTCTCTGTTTCTTGGTAGACTACCTTTTAAATCATCTCATGAAATTCTGAGTTCAGGATTGAGGAAAGTGACATCGGGGGGCCCTTCTGTTTTGAGTACTAGGTGTCTATCCTTGGTATCCATCTCTGACTATGAGCTATTAGGGGAGTAACTCTCTGTAAACATGTTACATAGAGACTTTTCTCACTGTCTTCTGTCTTCTTTTTCTTCTTTAAAGCTCCCAAAATACTATTTGGCAACATGCAAGGATCTATCTTTCCTACATTCTTATTCATGGATTTCTGACATTCATCTGCCCATTGATTTGGTGAGTATTTATAGAACACTTACTTTATGCTAGGGGTGTTTTAGGCAGTAATGATACCGTAGTGAGCAAAATAGTGTCCTGAACTTACAAACAGAGAAAACAAGCCCATATGAAGTATGCCAGAAAGTGGTACATGCTCCGAAGACAGAATAAATGTGTGCGGTGGAGCCCACGGAAGAGAAATTATGCTAACAAAAAGATATTTGGCGGAATCCTGCAGGGGAGGTAGCAAGCCCTGGGGTTAAACGGCAAGAGAGAGTGCCAGCGAACCTTAGGAAGAATGTCCTGACGTTAGTAAGTGCTTGACATCCCCAAGAAACAACACAGACTCCAGCAATAAATTGGTGTGAAGGAAGAGAAAGAGCCACAGGGTGGTGGCCAGATCTAGTAAGATCACAGAGATTTTATAAAGACTTGAACTTTTCCTCTGAGAGACATGGAAAGGTCGTGAGCAGAACACTGACATGTTCTGACTTGTACATGAAAAGTATTCTTCCAGGAACTTTGTGAAAAATAAGCCGAGAAAGGGAAAGTGGGAGAAGTGGACAGACCAGTGAGTGGCAGGTTTTAATAATCCAAGCAAGAGATGGCAGAAGTTCACGAGGTGTGTGGATTATATTTAGGTTTCCTACAATCAAACTAAAATATTACAAATCTTCCAATATTACAAATCTTCCAAAATGGTTGGAAATCAGAATGCTGCCAAGATTACTGGGGATATCAAGAAATTGTTGGCCGGGCGATGGTGGCGCACGCCTTTAATCCCAGCACTCGGGAGGCAGAGGTAGGCGGATCTCTGTGAGTTCGAGACCAGCCTGGTCTACAGAGCTAGTTCCAGGACAGGCTCCAAAGCCACAGAGAAACCCTGTTTCGAAAAACCAAAAAAAAAAAAAAAAAAAAAAGAAATTGTTGGTGGGAGTAATTAAGAGTAGATACCTCTCTTCAACATCAAGCAGCTCACAACTGCCTGTATTCCAGCTCCAGGGGATCCAAAGCCACCTTCTGTCTTCCATTAGTACCTGCACACACATGAACATACACAAACAATGAACATATGTACACATATATGAATTTAAAAAATAAATATTTTAAACTATTGTACATTATATTAGATGCTAAATTTTCTGTTGCATTGGTCTTAGTCTATTCCTGCTGCTACACTAAAATATGTCACACTGAGTAATTTACAAACATCAATGTTTCATTTGTTATTGTTCTGACAGTTGGGAGCAACGTAAGGCTCCAGCAGAGTCAGTAGCTGGTAACTGCCCATTCCTCATATGGGGTCTTTTCTGTGCATTCTTACATAGTGGGAGGATGCTTGTTAAGATAAAACACCATGACCAGGAGCAACTTGGGAAGAAAAGGGTTTAATTCATCTAATTCACCACAGTTCATCACTGAAGGAAGTCAAGGCAGGAACTCAGTACAGGAACCTGGAGGCAGGAACTGACACAGAATCCATGGAGGAACACTGCTTATTGGCTCGTTCTTTGTGTTTTGCTCAGCCTACTCTCTTATATAACCCAGGACTGGCCCCTTCCACATCCATCCCTAATAATAACAATGAAAATGCCCCACAGGCTTTCCTGCAGGCCAGTCTAGTGGAAGTATTTTTCTCAATGGGCGTTCTTTGTTCCCAGAAGCCTCTAGCTTGTGTCAAGTAGAAAACAACAAAACCAAAACCAAAACAACTAACAAGGACAAGGGCAGAGTAGCAGCAGCTTGATTTATATCTCGGTCACCAGGGCCAAATCAGCTCCAGGAATAAGTCAATGAAGAACTCTCCTGAGGAAGAATGAGTGTTGGCATCTGATATGGGAGTTGTGTGCTGTGATTACCATTAATGAATAAAGAAACTGCTTTGGACCTATAGCAAGGCAGAACTTAGGTAGGCAGGGAAAGCAAGGCTGAATGGTGGGAGAAAGAAGGGTGGAGTTAGGGAGAAGCCATGGAGCTGCCACTGGAGACAGCTGCTGAGAACTTTACCTGGTAAGCCACAGCCATGTGCTGATACACAGATTAATAGAAAAGGGTTAAATTAAAATGTAAGAGTTAGTCAATAAGAAGCTAGAGCTAATGGGCCAAGCAGTGTTTTAATTAAGAAAGTTTCAGTGTGGTTGTTGGTTCTGGGCAGCCAGGATGAACAAGTGGCCTCTTCCTATAGGCATCTATGCCTGTGCCAAGGCTTGAATCCTTCACAGTGCACAGCTCTGATTGATCAGGCACTTCTAGGCTTGGTTGGATCACTTTGGAGATGTTCTACTTGGAAATACTGTGTGATTGATTTTGGGACCCATGTCCAAAATTCCATAAGCTCCTATAATAGTGCCACCAGATAGGGACTAGGTATTAAAGCACACAATACTACAGGAAATTTTCATAAGGCAGATAAATTAGGAAAGAGAAAAGATACACACTTGATTTAGACAGCTCTGCATGCACAGGACATATGTGCCAAGGTGGGCTTGAGTGGGGCAAGTAGACTCCCACCTTATACATATGTCATGTTCATATAGTTCAATGTAGAGCTGACTAAATAAGGGCATTTTTCTTCTCTCTTTCCTGATTTCATCTATGGCATCTGACATTTTATATATAAACCAATTTGATTATTATTGTCTTCTCTTCCAACACAACTAGAAAGTGAGCTTTATGAGAAAAAGACTTTTTGTCAATGAATGGATGCTTTAGGGGAAACAAATCAGGAGTCTTTCCTTCCTTCCTTCAACTAGCAATGAAATCTTACTGTAGATGATGAAAACCTCCCCATGATGAAAACACAGCAGATAAAATGAATGCCTTAAACGGTCCTATAAATCTACAATATGACATTAAAAACGTTTTGCAGGGCAGATGAGTTGAAAGGTTTCGTCATAGATGCTGACACCAGGTTAGAAGCCTTAAAGATAAGGTCAAGATTCCGAGGGCAGAGCAAGCTGTCTCTTGGCTAGTGTTTACTGCAGTAGGGTATGGAGCCGTCTATCTGCGTAGCTCATTCTTGGGGATTTGGAGCTGCACTGAAACTAACAGTGGGAGGGGCGAACACTCGTGAACATCAATTTAGCTTTCACGAACCAGTCATTAGTGCCCATGACAGCTCAGAACATCTTCCTCCTGTGGGGAGTTAGACGGGACTGCAGCCCTAAAGAAGTGTATTGCGTTCACAATCTATATTTGACTTGTACTATATTTTCATTGCTGCTGGGGAAAGGTCCAGTGGAAAATGTGTGCTGTTCTAAATATATCCTTTCTATACCTGCTAGATTTAGACTGAAGCCTCGGGGGTGCTGCTCAAGAGGTCACCTCCAGTGAAGTGCTTTAGCTGGCCTGGCTTGTGGATCAGGATAGCCCTACAGCAGAGCAAAACAGGAAGGGCTTGACTAGGGAGGTGCTATTTCCTTCCTTATCCTAGAGCTCTGAGGGTGGCAGGTGTCCCACCTCTTGTGATCTCAGCATATTGCTATAAACCCTGGAACAGATCTTCCAGTTCTAGAGTAGTTAAGTCTCAGCCTGCTGGGTTTTTGTTTTTCGTCTTTTCCTTCCTTCCTTCCTTTTCTATTTTTAATCTCAGCTTCCTTGTTTGTAAGATTATTTGACTAGCGCCCTACCTTGCTCATTTCAACGCTTAGTTCTTTACTTCTCTTTTTATTGGGTGTATGAGGTAGGGTGGTTGTTATTATAGCTTCTCAGGAAAAAGGGAAGCTTAACTGGGAGTATTTTATTCAGCACACTCAACAGAGTTAAGCGCAGGCGTTCATAAATATTTATGAATGAATGTGTGCAAGGGTGAATGACTGAACGGGTGAATGAATATGATGCTTTCGAGCCAACTGAGGGGAAATGGGCTGTGAGGACCCGCTGAGGGTAATTTACCTCCATAAAGGAATTTACTTCCCTTTCTTCTGAATCCTCTCCTCCGGCGCTGGGCGGGGACGCGCGTGGGAGGTGGGAAGGGAAAGGGGCGGACCTCCAGGACATCAGGGCGGGGCCACAACCAAGGGGGCGGAGTCAGAGGGGGCCAAAGGTGGGATCCACTGTGCGGGCTATCAGGGCGTTCGGAAGGGAGGGGCCAGGCGCACGCGGCACAGACGAGCATCAGGAGGCGGGCTCAAGAAGGTCGCCTTGTGGGTGGGGCCCCAAGCAGTGAGGGCGTGGCTTCTAGGGCGGCCCAGTGGGTGGGACCGCAAATGCTCTCTGGTTGGGCTCAGGCCTCACGCGGGAGGGCGGAGCTTCACGCGGTGGGGGCGGGGCGCTATCCCCGGAGGGCGGGGCCTCGGGTGCGCGCGGACTGGGCGGGCCCGGCGCGGCACCGGGGCACGATGGCCCGAGCGGGCGGCTGAGCGCGAGCGCCACATCGTTCGCCGCCGCGGGCCGCCGGCTCACCGAGCCCTCGCCAGCATAGCGCGCCGGCGTCGGGCCATGTACTCGGGGAACCGCAGCGGCGGCCAGGGATATTGGGAGGACGGGGCGGGCGCCGAGGACGCAGCGCCTGCGGGCACACGAAGCCCGGCGCCGCTCTTCAGCCCCACGGCGTACGAGCGCCTGGCGCTGCTGCTTGGCGGCCTCGCGCTGCTGGGCGTCGGCGGCAACCTGCTGGTGCTGCTGCTCTACTCCAAGTTTCCGCGGCTGCGCACGCCCACCCACCTCTTCCTGGTCAACCTCAGCCTGGGCGACCTGCTGGGGTCCCTGTTCGGCGTCACCTTCACCTTCGCGTCGTGCCTGCGGAACGGCTGGGTGTGGGACGCTGTGGGCTGCGCGTGGGACGGGTTTAGCGGCAGCCTCTTCGGTGAGTTGCCCGGGACGCGTCCTCCTCGCCTCCCAACTTTCCCTGGGTACAGCAGCTCTGGGCTTGCGTCCTCCCTTGGATCCTCCCTTCTAGCCAGTCATCACCCCTAACTCCCGGCCTCTCTCATCCCCCGGGATCTTCCCTTTCAGCCGATCTTCTTCTCCCAACTCCCCGTTTCCCTCCTCCTCTGGGTCCTTCCAGCCAGTCGTTATCCCCAACTCCCAATGCAGATGCAGCAGTTCTGAAAGTCTCCCTGCCGCTGGCCAGCTTGTATCTTCTCATCTCTATTCTGTTTTCACTGGTCTGCACAAGGGGGGAGAGAAATGAGGGCCTGTAGAGTCAAGAGACACAAGAAAAAAGTCAACCCCTGAAAAGTGGAGAAGGGACAAGGAGAGCTTTAATCACGTATTTAGTATTCGTTTCTCAGAGTGACACGTAGAAGCCTAAATAACTGTGTATTTCCCCCACCCTTCCATTTGCTAGCAATTATAAATCGTTTAGTGCTTCCTAGGGAGTGAGACTGTATGACATTTTTAATTGTATTTCCTCTACATAAGTTCTGTCACACCCGAGGTTACAAATGGCTCAGAAGTCCAACTCATTGGTGTGACTAATTAATTATCTGGGCAGCCAGTACGTTTAATTAAAGTAGAACTTGTTGATCTCTTGAAGATTTATATTGAAAATTGACAGGTTGGCGCTTGACTAACTCAGTATTTTAAGCTTGGGAAATACTGGTGTGTGTGTGTGTGTGTGTGTGTGTGTGTGTGTGATGTGGGGTGTGGACTGTGTGTATGTGTGTGTTCTAAGAATTTTGTTTGTACAGAGATTTAAAATAGAATTGGGTATTTCTTAAGTCTTAAAATCCCCCTTTTCAAATCTTAAAACACACTGGTAATTGACTACTGTCTTTATCTTGGCAGATCTTAGAGAAAAACATCTATGTAACATCATGGATATTTTTATTTGCCAGCTTATGTGTGACAAACATAATCCTAAGTGTTATTGTCATGATTCCTTTTTTTAAAATTTTAAAGCAAAGAAAATTTGGAAGTTACAGTTTTATTTATTTATTTCACTGATTGATAATTCCGATACTTTCTCTAGTCTCTTCCCCTAATAAACATTAAGGATTTCCATTTTAAAAAATACTAAAACTTGAGGAGGGACTGTGAGAGCACATCAGTGATAATGTAGGTTGACTGTTTGGTTATTCTCTGTGTTAACTAAAAACGTTGGTCAGGAGGGTCTTTCAGGTGGATTAGTCTTTAAGAAGGTGACGTGTGTCAGTCAGGCCTGGCTCTCAGAGGCCCTGGGATAGGCGACAGGTGTTTATTCACGGACATGACAGTTCTTTCTTCTGTGAAATATGTTTCTGTGCTGTGGTGTCCAGCTGGCAGTATGAAAACAAGAATGGGTTCAGTTTTTTAGTGTGGTTTTCAGCATCCACCCTGTTCCCCTGCCATGCTCTGCCAACCTCCTCTTCCTGTATCCTTCCTTCTCCTTTCTCCCTGCTCCACCGGGAGCTGTCACCATCAGAAGAAATTTTTTAAGACTTCTAGAAGCATCCACCCTGGTGCTTTACCCAGGGCATTTATCAGTGCTTTGAATCATGGCTTCTGTTCCCACCCTGAAACCTGAGGTAGATGGTCTAGGGTTAGAGGACTGGGAATCAGTTACCTCCTGGAGAAGAGTGAGGTTACGGCAGAACTCACAGTGTTCTTAGCAAAGATGGTTTCTTCTCCCGGAGCATGCTTCTTGATGGAGACAGGGAAGATGCTTCCCTTTCTATCCCTAAGCCAGGACTAGTCAATCCTGAGTACTAAAGGAGAGGAAGTTTTTCAAGGCTCGAAGTAGCTAGCTGCTTGCTGCAGAGCTTTGGTGAGGCTGCACCGCTGGTCTGTTGGGCCCCTGTGGCTACTTCATCGTCTGTGCTTTCCCAAGTCATTCACTCTCCCAGACTGCCAGTTTCCCCATCTTTGTGATCCACTATTGAGCTGACTGTGGTTAAGGTCATCTATCCTATTTACTTTGTATTTTTTGAAGACCCCTTTGACATCTGTAGTTCAGAAAGTACTTACTTAGTGCCTATAACCCGCTTCACCCCACCCCCGCCAGCCTCAGCTTTGTTCCCTTCTATGCCTAGAGGAAGTAAATGCTTATACTTTGGATGTCCTCATAGGTTCTGTCTCCCTCTTTATACCCTACTAGAAGAAGAGAGAGTAATTCACATGTTCTTGCATATATGCACAAGTAGACCAGGCAGTGGCTTTATCCTGGGCTCTGGTCCTGGCTTCTCAAAGAAGGCTAAATATAAGTAGAATTCCTGATAATCTTGGTCAGAGGTTACTACCAGCTGGGCTTGTTGGGATCGCTGTATCAGTTAAACTAACATGTCAGACCAGCAACCTTGTAAAGTTCGTGTCAATTCCAGTAGAGTGGCTTGTTTTATGAATATCAGAATTACTAGTCTCTTCCGTGTACCTGCATCTAGATGCCAGCAGATGTAACAGTAGTGAAAAGTAGAGAGGCCCAGGAACACTTACTGCTACTGTGCATGATGAGCCAGGAAAAGGCTGGCAATGAGGTGTGAAAGTGTGTTAGCCTGCAGACGTCCAGGTGAGTATATCCAAGGGACAGGCTCCAGCACACCCAGCACCACACGGATATAACCAGCATGTGATGGAAGGGTTTAGGGGAGTCCTTTTCCATTGCTTCTTTAGAAACAAGAACCTGTTTAGAAAGAGATTCATGGTTGCAGAGACAGACTGGCAAAATGTAAATGTTTCCTTATTTAGATGTTATAAATAGATATTATTTATGTTAAAATGTTTTAATATAGGAAACTTTTTAACTTATACATGGACTTTAGTATAGAAAATGTTACAAGGCTATTTCCTCTCATTCTGTTCTTTCATGTACTTGCATATATTAAATGTCAGTTATTGAATTAATTCTCTTGTAATATCTAGATGTCTCAAGTATCTGCTGCAAGATCCTTAGGGTGGTTAAGGTTGTAAAATCTTCTATACAGCTGACTGGGATTACCTACAGACTTTCCTGACACTGGCAATATTCCCCATTATTTTGACATTATCACTCAGCCTAGTATGTTTCCATAAACACTGTAAAGCCACATTTTTTTTTAGTCTAAGCTTTCAATGTTGTCCAAATATTTTATTAACCATAAGGTAATTGTATAATATTATTAATTTTTTATTTTTTCTGGGCTATTGTGTCTGTTTCACTACTTTGGGGGAAGATGTACAAAGTATCTTCTGTTCATTTTCAAGAGCTTAGGAGACCTGTGGGAGGGCATTTAATGACTTCTTTGGGTAGAGGTTTGTATCCACGTTAACAAGTCAGGCTCCAGTGGATTGAAATTGCTGTTGCATGAAATTGCTTTTCTATTATTTACAATTGTGTTCTTTTCTTGAATTTTCTTCTTTCAGAGAAGAGTTCCAGCCACAAATGCATATGTGATGCATGGTAACCTTTACCGCTAAGGGGAAGTGCAGACACGAAAAGGATACATCCATTTGAGTGTTCTCAGATAGGATTTCATGCCTTTCTCGTGTTTTCCATGCTCCTGACTTTCTTTTCTTAAATGTTTAAATTGTAACTGTTAAACAGCTTAGGACTTGCAAGTTCAGTGTTTCTGAATGAAGATCACAAGTAGAGATTTTATTACAGAATAAATACCTCAGAGGAGTCCTCGGCCTAGATCCGTACTGAGTTCCTTCATCAGCTGTGACCTGAAGCTTCAGCTCCTAAGATGGCAGACAAGCTTCCCACAGAGTTTGATGTGATTATAGTAGGGACAGGTTTGCCCGAGTCCATCCTGGCAGCTGCATGTTCGAGAAGCGGACAGAGAGTTCTGCATGTTGACTCAAGAAGTTACTACGGAGGGAACTGGGCGAGTTTCAGCTTTACAGGTTTGCTGTCCTGGCTGGAGGACTGTCAACAGAGCCATGACAGCGAGGAAGACACCACCGCCTCGTGGCGAGACCTGATCCATGACACCGAAGAAGCCGTCGCCCTTTGCAGGAAGGATGGAACCATTCAGCACACAGAAGTCTTCTGTTATGTCAGCCAGGATGTTGGGGACAGCACTCAAAAGACAGATGCTCTGCAGAGAAGTCCTTTTTCAGAGGCATCTGCTACCCTGGCTGATTCTCTGGATTCTGCAGGCTTGTCCAAAGAAAGGCACTCTGCGTACTTTTCAAGCCACGAAGCGCCTTCTGAACATCCAGAGAGAAGTGATAGAGAGCCTTCATCATTTCCAGTTGCTGCAGAGAACTCACTGGAGAAAGAAAAGGACCGTGAAGACGAAAGTGGTACCCAGACAGTTTCAGATGGAGATAAAGATGAAGACATACTTCATGTAGAAGACAACACTGAACAACCAAAGAGAAGCAGGATTACATACCCTCAAATGATTAAGGAGAGCCGGAGATTTAATATTGACTTGGTATCAAAGCTGCTGTATTCTCAAGGATCATTGATTGATCTTCTAATCAAATCAAATGTTAGTCGTTATGCAGAATTTAAGAACGTCACTAGAATCCTTGCATTTCGGGAAGGGAAAGTGGAACAGGTGCCTTGCTCCAGAGCAGATGTCTTCAATAGTAAAGGGCTCACTATGGTTGAAAAGAGGATGCTAATGAAATTCCTCACATTCTGTCTAGACTATGAACAACATTCTGACGAATACCAAGATTTCAAAGAATGTTCATTTTCTGAGTACCTAAAAACTAAACAGTTAACGCCCAGCCTCCAGCATTTCATACTGCACTCAATTGCGATGACATCAGAGTCTTCCTGCACTACATTAGATGGCCTTAAAGCAACCAAAACCTTCCTTCAGTGTCTTGGACGGTTTGGCAACACTCCCTTTATATTCCCTTTATATGGCCAAGGAGAAATTCCCCAGTGTTTCTGCAGGATGTGTGCCGTGTTTGGTGGAATCTATTGTCTTCGCCATAAAGTCCAATGCCTTGTAGTTGATAAAGACTCCGGAAGATGTAACGGAATCATAGACCACTTTGGTCAGAGAATAAGTGCCAGCTATTTCATTGTGGAAGACAGTTACCTTTCTAAGGAAGCGTGTTCAAATGTGCAGTATCAGCAGATCTCGAGGGCCGTGCTCATCACAGACCGGTCCATCCTGGAGACAGATTCAGACCAGCAGGTTTCCATTCTGACAGTGCCTCCGCTGGAGCCAGGAACCAGTTCCGTTAGGGTCATGGAGTTATGCCCGTCAACCATGACGTGCATGAAGGACAGCTATCTGGTCCACCTGACTTGTGTCTCTTCAAAAACAGCCAGGGAAGACTTGGAACCCGTGGTGAAGCAGTTATTCATCCCTTTTACAGAAGCAGAAGACCAGGAAGAACTCAGAAAACCGAGACTCTTGTGGGCTCTTTATTTTAACATGAGAGATTCCTCAGGGGTGAGCCGAAGCTCGTACCGTGGCTTGCCTCCCAATGTGTACATCTGCTCTGGGCCTGACTGTGGACTGGGGAATGAGCATGCCGTCAAGCAGGCGGAAGCACTGTTCCAGGAGATCTTTCCCAGTGAAGAGTTCTGCCCCCCTCCACCAAATCCAGAAGACATTATCTTTGAGGGTGAGAGTTAGCAACCAGACAATCCTGGAGTCAGTATTTCGCTTACTGCCAAGCTCGATACCCCAGAGACAACAAGAACTTGCAAAGCCCATGCCACCTTCGAAATTAAAGCAGACTGGAAGTATTTTCATCCTGACCTCAAAATAGCGTCATTTGAAAGACAGCTGCCATTTGTGATAAGTGCTGTTGACATGTCTTCAATACTAAGACACCGGGTACCTAATAGCTCTGCTAATCTGTCAGTAACTAACTGATTTGTGGTGACTCAGCCTTTTTGGTTCTGAACTGGCTCCAGGAATCCAGAATCTTCGAGTGTAGTTAGCTTTCTTTTATTTTTGGGTTCCGCAGTGGCAACTTTGTTTATCTTACTAGGTAATATCGCGCTTGCTACTGTGTTCAGGTTTTATCATTGTCTACACAAAACTAATGTCCAAGGACTATTGTAGTTACTGCTGCAACTACTAGTGTTGCTACCACCTCAGATGCGTAGAGGAGCATGTAAGTCCTAACCATGTGAGCTCTTTGTGTATCGTGTAAACACATGGAGCTGGTAGTAGGAGTAGCAGCTGGTACAAGTGCTCATTTGATAAAACACAACTGTCTGTTAGAAGCGTGGCCATGGTCCTGTGTCTTGGGATTGATATTTACATGTGATTTTACCTTCTTGACCTTTGTGACTAAGGAGGCAGTGAGCCTGCCGTGCCCTGCTACTTTGCAGAAAGAGTGCCTCTTAGGAGTCAAAGAAGCTCATATATAAGAGCAATCAGGGCTTGGTGGCTTATTCATGCAATGCTGTCATGTAGGAAGTTGAGGCAAGAGGACTCCTGTAAAGTCCAGTCCAGTCTGGGCTATGGTGTTGAGTCTCATTTCAAAACAAAACCAAACCCCCTACCTATCCCAAAAAAGAAGTATATTACAGAAAAATTAAAGGGACCGGATTTATTCAGAAAATTTCTATAGCGCTGACACTAACACTTAAGAGAACGTCTTAACAGTTAACTGAGGCTAGCATCAATTAATAAGTTACGCTAGGAAAAGGTTCTTCAGGATAGGTGTTGAGAATATTCCAGAAAGGATTTCCCAAGAAGGAATAGTGGCGCATCTTAACGTGGGTTTATAGATGCCTATAAAGTTAGAGGTTTCCCCATCCAGGTTTCTCGGGGTGAAGCATGACTCCTGGTTGGCTGTACTGCTTTATAAACTTGGTAACTGACACAACGTCTCTTTTACTACAGTCTGTTACCCTGAGAACAGGAGGGATGCTTTCCCTCCAGAACCAGCTGCTGCACCCCAGCAGGGAAAGCCCTCTGCTGTGAGAAGAGGCAGTACTAGTGAGTAGACTAGTGTGGTCTGGTATACTCTTGCTGCCCGTTAGTGAGGAAAGCGAGCCAAGACGTTTAAGTGAATGACAGGGCACTGAGAGGAGGAAGCCATCCGTTGGTCTTGGTGTTGGTTTTTTAATATAATAAATCCATAATATTGTGTAGATCTTAAGGATTAAATCCAGCAGAACAAATGAAATAACCTGAGCTATCCTAAAAGTAGCAATTAAGAGAAAAACAAGTCTAAGATAGATAAAATGGAGGTGAGAGTAATTCAAACCCACTTCATAAGGTTTGTCAGCACCACAGTCTGTTCAGAAGACATTAAAAGAAGGGGGCAGAGTTGTAAAAGATAAACAGACACTAGAAAAGACAGAGCTGAATGTAATAGAAGTTAGGATTAGAATAGGCCAAAGCGGGGGGTGGGGGGAAGGGGGGACACAAGGTTGTTTTTGTTTTTTGTTTCCTAAACTAAAAAAGTGAATGTATTACTTTAAATGAGCACAGAGCAATAAGTGGAAGTGAGGCAAATGAGCAAAAGGTATTTAAGAAATATAAGGGATATTACTTAACTTTCTAACAAGTTAGAATGGGCTTATTGGAAGTTCTCAGGTGTTTAGGAATCATAAATGCTGCCTTTCATCAATTACATTTTGACTCAATTAGGGCTCCACACTAAAAGTCAGACAAAATCTCCCATTCTAGCTAGGGAAAAGCTGTAGAGTAAAATGTTGCCCGAAGAGGTAACAACCGACAGAAACAATTACTTGCAGTGACTGAGAATGAGCCAGCTGTGTCCAGTATAGTAGCTGTGCATCAGCATGCACAGAGCCCATGATGCTACCTGCACTAACTAGACAATTTCATTTGCTTTAACTATGTTTACTAATGATTTTGTGGGCATTTCATAGCATGATAAGCAACTACTTAAAACTTAACTTGAATTTCTATTGGGAAAACATGTGTGAACCATTTCTTAAGTAGAAATGGACAGCCTTGGTATTACTTTTTATCTGTATGTGGCTGAAAAAAAATGTCAGTGGGATAAAAATACAAAGTAAAGTTATAGAAAGAAACCAGAGCAAACATACTCTTTTTCCATGGCTTTATAATTCTCTAAACCTGTGTGACCATATAAATATCTATGACCAGAAGAGAAGTTCACAAGTTGCAGGGTACATAGTTTTTTGAAATCTCATATCTAGATTCCAACAGTGATGGGATTTTAAAACGTATTGATACTGGTATATACGAGTGTCTTTAAAAAGTTTGTAGCTATATTAGAGTAATTTAAGAAAGATAAAAGCTTTAATGAAGGAGCTAAATTTAATATATGAGTGTGCTTCTATGAGAGATGTCTTGGCTTGAAGGAAATGCTATAAACACAGGGAGACCACAGGTCATTTATTACTCATTTGATCTCAAAACAATTACTTTTGGCTTTCATTTACCATCTATGGAATAGAAATAATATTTAACAAAATTACTGTGAATATTAAGTTGGATAATGCATAAGAACCCTTATCCAAAATAATTCCAGCATGTGGCATTTGTATGTAACTGATAGTTATTACAGTATCATTGGTGATGTCAACCTTATGCTTCATGTAATTTGAGAGAACTGTGATAAATTATGCAAGAAAGTAAGCGAGGAAACACATCTTCAATTTTAGAGGGAAAAAATACAGGGCTTTGCCCTCTAAGTCCTTAAGGCATGATATACCTACCACCCATCTAAATGTTCTGTGGTGCTGAGTTCAAGGAAGTTAAGACTGATCAGCTACCAGGAAAGAAGTATTTACAAGCTGCTCACAGGAAGACTGGGTCAGTATGGAGATAGGTTTCAGGGCCTCTTTTCATCCCACGCTGCCATTTATTTGTTAATCATATATTGACCATAAAAGTAATAAGAATACAATTTTTACCCCAGTAATAATGCCAAGGAATGTTCTGGCAAGTGAACATTGACAAAGTAGATCAACTAAAATTAAAAGGAAAAGCTAGATACAAAATAAGGAGAGAAGGTGGACTTAAAAAGCTGTTTCTATTGCATGGGTGTTTTATTTATTTGTTATTTACCTTATTTTTTGAGACATGGTTCTTTATGTAGCCCTGGCTGTCCTGGAACTTGCCCTGTAGACCAGTCTAGCCTCGAATTCCCAAGTGCTGGGATTAAAGGCATGTACCACCACTGTCCAACTTGTTTTTTATTTTATTTTATTTTTTTTTTAAGTGGGTGCAAATTCTTTAGGCTTTCTGCTCTTCTTGTGTACTCACTTTATACTCTAAAGTGATAGGTTGCAAAGAGTAATAAGAAAGTAAAAATAAATTCTTTGATCCTCAAATTAATGTGCATTAAAATAGATATGAAAGAAACTTTGCCTGCGTCCCTACTAGTAAGTGGATTTTTCATTCTGCATGAGTCTTCATGCAGTAGCACCAAGTATTTGTGGTCATTTGGAAGAACTATTTAAGAGATTAACCAGTCTTCCATAACTGATTTTTGACATAACTTTGAGTAGCACATTCCCAGGAAAATACTCTCAGAATGAACAAATAAATAAATAAAGCTACTTCTAAAAATATGTTTTAGAAATTTCATTTATACTTTTTAAAAAACTTCTAAGAAATGGATAAATTTTGGTGTGTTGTTGATGCCATAGTGACCTTACAGAAAGTTAAATGGTACATGTAAGACTGTATGGAAAGAGTTTGAGACTCAAAAAGATGTTAGTTTGCAACAGAAATTATTGCGTGCTGATTGCATTTGTATAAAAATTTGGATCTCTATACTGGAAGAAATCAGAAGGCATGTAATTGCAGGTTAATACTTAATCTCCTTACAATATTTCTGTAAAATATTGATGTGTACAATAACAATAAAAGATTAATTGGTGAAATGGCTTGCTTGATTGATGAAATGATACTGTTTCTTAAAAACATATAAATTCTCCTTTAAGCTAAATACATTTCTAACTGTTAAAGTTGGTAATCTCCAAAAATGTGTGGCCGAAAGTTTTTGCAATATTTCTTAAGAAGAAACTCCTGATGAAGATGGACTTTAATCTTTCGTGTCTTTTCTCAGTTGTCTGACATTTAAAACTAAGTAGAGAAATAGTAGGTTCATTCCAGTTCGTCAGTGTGAAGATCTTTCATGGCCCAGCGTGATGGTGCATGCCTGTAATCCTAAAACTTGGGAGACTGAGGTAGGAGAATTGCTGTAAGTTTGAGTCCAACCTGAACTATATAACCTGGGCTATGTAGATATCCTGTCTCAAGAGACAGAGAGAATGAGAATTACTAATCCAAACCTAAAGTCATCCATTACCGTGGAGATTAAGTCTGAGAGCCACGGTGATGAGGTCAGTTCACAGGTATCCACTGAGCAGTTGCTGGGCGTCCTTAGCCAAGGACACACTTAGGGACTATGGACTCAGGCCAATACTTTCTTCAGTCACCTTGAGTTATCCGAAGCCATATAACTGGCAAGCATCAGCCAAACACCTAATGTGATTATGAGTTGGCATCAGTCAATTTAGGGGATAAAAATATGTCTACCCAAGAAGCCTGCTGGAATGCTTGCCCTAAGGTAAGGTGTTCTTCCTTCTAACAAGCATTTATGACATTTTCTACTCACCACCCTCACCTCAGTCTTAAAACTAAAACAACCCTCTGACTTGTGATACACGGCATTTTTTTCCAATTTTATTTCGGAAACTTTTTAGAGCAACAGTTTGTAAAAACTGGGTCAGTCAACAGTTGCAGGAATCCTTTCCATCTAACATTCTCAGCGTTGTGTCTTGCCTGGGGAAGAGGAAGTACAAGAAACGGAACCCAAAGCACAAGGCCCTGAGTGTCGAGGGACCAAAGGACAGAAGTGGAGTGTGAAGCATTCTGGGTACCAAAAATAGTGCCCTGTTGAGGCTCAGACCTAGTTGTCTTGGTGGCGGATCTGGTTGAAGTCCTGTTCCATTGGCTTTGTCTTAATTTGCACTTATGTATTTATTTGGGATGGGGGCTGCTGCAGTACACTTGTGGAGGTCAGAGGGCAGCTTGTCTGCCCCTCCTTCCAGTACCAAGTTTCCAGAAATTGAAATGAGGTCATTGGGCTTGTGAAAGGCAGGCCCCTTATCCACGGAACCATCTCAGCGGTCTTTCTTTTAACCTTTATTATTACTGTTTTTGTTTTTGAGACAAGATTTCATAGAACCAGGCCGTCTTTGAACTTGCTGAGTATGATCTTGGATTTCAAAGGACGAACTCTGATCCTCCTGTCTCTGTTGTGATTGCAGGTGTGTGGTGGCACACGCCTGATTTGTGGGTGCTGGAAACTAAACCCAGGGTGTCGTGCATGCCAGGCAAGCTATCAAGGTCTTTACATATATTATTCTTGCTGTTGTCCTGTGATTTTAGCTTTTGCTGTTGCTAGACATATATTTAATCCTTTTTACACTCCTTAAAACTACTTCAGAGGCATACCCACAAGAGGAAGGACGGTGGAGAGTGTGACTGACGAGGTGTCAAGAATGTAGGCACTCATAGTTCAGTCAGTCAGAAGGACATGGCGTCTTCAAGTACTTTATAGTTCACAGGAAATAACTTGGAGACATCCACACAGAAGGCTTCATACTTGGTTTTGGCTTTTCGAGGCAGAGTCTTCTAGCCTGAGCTCACCTTGAACTTACTGTGTAACTAAGAATGATCCTGAACTTGTGACCCTCCACCTTCCAAGTTCTGAGATTATAGGTGTGCACCACCATGTCCCACGTCACTGAATGCCATATAGCTAAAGCCCTCTATCTTTTGAAACGTACTTGTTCTTTTATTCATCTCAAATATACTAATATGTTAACATAGTTAAAGTGTTCTTTGTCAGTTAGCATTTTTGTTTGTAAGCTCATCGTTAAACCTTTTGAATAACTCTCAGACCTTATACATCATAAAGAAAAAGTATCCCAGAATGTCTTGCTGAAGATCCGGGAGGTAACCAGTAATTATGAATTTTCCTATTTTAGGGTTAGCCTAGAGTGAACCAATAAGACCATTTTTAAGACAGTACAAATTTTAATTTTAAGATGTTCCATTAATACTTTTATTAATTTCCTACCATTAGAGCAGTGATTCTCAAACCAAGACATCCACCCTGCAGGAGGCAATGGGGGATGTCAGGAGTCTTTGATGTCAAAATGGGAAAGGGGAAGCTTCCAGCATGTAATGTGTAGTGAGGCCGAGGTAGGGGCACTATCCTCATACAGTGGCAAGGTGGCCCCCTCACAGGTGGTTTGCCCAGCACAGACATCACTGCTGCCAAGACCGAGGAGCCCAGAACAGGTGGATATCTGAAGGGATCTCATTTGTCTGTGTCCCAACATCTGCCTGTTGTCCTCAGGATTTCTAACTAGGTCACTTGTCCTCTGTACCATGTCATTATCAGCAGGAATCCTAGTACTTTTTACTGGACCGCTTCATATATATCCCCTGTACCCACCCATCTCCCTTACATTATGAACCAACAGTGACTTCCTTCTGGAGATTTCGGATCATGCAAAAAACTTCAGAGAATCAGTTAATCCTCCACACCCACCTCTAATCTTCTGATATGAATTTAGAAGTTCCATAGGTTTAAAAAAAATATTTCCAAGAAATAGAATAGTTACAAGACAATTAGAATAAGGATTTTTTTCATATGCTTCAGAAAAATAACTGCCCCCTGACTAATATAAAATAGCATATTTTAAATTGCTCTTGAAAGGGTGTTGTGTGAAAGTTCTTATTACATGCATCTGACAGGATCCTGTGAATTTTAGAGGAGCCATCAGTAAATTAAATACATTGCCCACAATGGGGCTGCAGTTGCTTTGACAGTGGTTACCAGGTTTTGAGACAGTGCTGCAGATTGGCAGTTAATAGAAGGAGTTAACTGCAGGAGACATCTAATTGTGATGGAGTGTGTATTCTTAACACAGAGAAAACCCTTGAGACTGTACCACAGCTGGATGCAGAGGTTCCAAGACAACCAACATGCACTGACTGGTTATCCTGGGTTAAATTTTAAGAGTATGGATGACAACAAACACTTACTGTATCCCAGGTACTCCTGTAAGTTCTTCTTATCTTTTGTTTAATCGTCATTAACATCCCAGGGTAGGTGCTTCGATTGGCCTCCTTTTGCAGAGGAAGACAGACACTTTGAAGGCAGGGAATTTGAGGAACATCACACAGCTGGTAAGTGGTAGGGGGCAGGAGTGTGCTCCAAACTCTGCCCATCTGATACTGTAACTCACGTGCTATGGCTGCGAGATGCTCTACCTCCAGAGAGGGGTCAGATCCAGTTCAGGGACACCAGGAACTGTTCTCATCTCCTCCCCATATTTTTTTTTTTTTAAGAAGCCCTGTGACGGTAAGCACTGATGTTTCCACGTGGTGATAAGACAGACTTAACTCCCAGCATCATGGAAAGGTAAGCAGCGCAGTTCTCGGTCTATTGGGGCTGACACAGTCACACAGTTAGCTACTATATTATATCAGGCTATAACGACGACTGGAAAAATAGGCATAGGTCAGTGAATGCACCATGAAGTTTCTTGTAGGGAGATCTGGGAAGGTCTCACAAATAAGAAGGCATTTGGTCTGGACCTGAAGGATGAAAAGGATTTCCATGGGACGATACAAGGGAAAGCATTCGCTGCCAGAAGCAGGGTAGAAACGAAGTCCTTGTTTGACTTGACATGAGCTCCTATCCTCCCATTAGTTCCTAAGTTAAGATTCCTAAGTAGATTTTTCCCTCCATAGGCTTGTTGAAAGCTCAAGGATTGGCAAGGATGGCCAGTACCTTTATAACTTTCCCAGAGTAGGTTCTTACTGAACGCAGCCTGCAATAGGAAAGGAGACGCACTGTCCTGATGGGACTATTTCAGAGCCAGGGTACAGGGTTCATATTCATTTTCTGTTGGGCACTTACAACTTTCTGATGGAGACTGCATCACTTTGGACTTCCAGTTATGTATCTCAATCCGCTTACTTTTTCCTGATCAGAGGAAGAAACATGGCACACAAATAGTACGGGAGAGAACTATAGAAGCCAAGGGGAATTTCAGTAAGAGCCTGGTCCAGTGTGGCCTCTGCAGAGGTTCAGTAAACAAATGCTTTAGTGTTGGATATGTCTGTTCACAAGACTACACTGATAGACCCAGCCGGAAAGGTAGGTGTGAAACTGACAGGAAGATCTTTAGAAATCACCAGGCACCTCTCTGGCATCGAGAATCAGTAGACATCCAGAGATCATTGAGTGGATAGAGGCAGGTTGCGTACTGTGCCATATAAAGAAGGAATAACATGAATATCTGATATGTTGCCGGGGATTTTTATTTCTGGTGGCTGTTTTGGTAAAGTGTATTGAAACTTTCACATACTGTACAGTTGCTCATGTAACATTACTAGCAGTTTATCTTAAAGCATTGTTGATATATGTAAAACATATAGCTAGATGGATTGTAACATCCCTTCCCAACATATTAGTCTTACATACTATTGGTCAGGTGGTATTATAAGTGCTTTGTGAGTACTAATGAATTCAATTTTCAATCCAGTTCTATGGGATTTCTAGATAGCATTATTTCCTCTGTTTTATTAATAGTTACTGAAATAAAAGTTCCAGACAGCTAACTCATTCAAGATCACACAGAATGTAGAGGATGCAGAACTCAATCGGTGTTAAATTGTCTGTCCCTGCTCCACTGTCAGGTGAGGGATAAACTGCAGGAGATCCAACGGTCCACAACATGAACTCAAAGAGAAAACAATATAGAAACATACCACTGACAAACCACTCAGGATCCACACTCGGCAAACCCTCCGTTCCAGAAGCGCATCTCACCTTAGCTTATATCTCTGC